AAAACGAGTCACTTGCTAACAAACCATCTCTAAACAGAAAATGTGCTCTGGGCTGATGGCCTGTGGCCGGACCATCTTCAACCCGCCCTCAGCAAGGTTTGGGAAAGGAACAAGAGTGTTGAGCAGCTCACCTGCCCAGGAGAGGGTTCCCCCAAGCCAGCGGCCCCAGGGAGCTGTGCTGCACGTCCTGTTTGTCTCTTGTGACATTTGCATTTTGTTCTTTGCTTTAGGACTGCTGGACCGTGCACTGCTACACAGATGTCCCATCAAGTTAGCTCAGCTATGCTTGGGTTTGGGCTGTTTCTGTGCAGGGAAGTGAAATTGGTGAACCTTTTGTGCAGAAAGTGCAGAAATTCGCTAGAAGCAGAAGTTTCTGCTTTTGGCTTTGTGGTTACCACACTGTTTGGAAGGGGTGCAGAATCAAAGTTGAACAGGACTCCCCACAATTAGTGCAGAGTTTGGCCTGGACAGAGTAGGAGTGCTCTTCTGGGCTCCTGCTTTGGTAGGTTGGAGGTGTCATCACTAAGCAGCACTGCTCATCCACACCCTTCCCGGGAATGTTGGTAGCAGGTGTAAGCAAGGTCCCAGGCTGTTGCCAGCTGGCTCACTCTCCTGGATAGCAGGTTCAGGTGCATGTTCCATCCTTAAATCAGATTGCAGAGTGTGTGAGTAGGCAGGCCAAGCAGATCACAGCTATCAATGTGCCCTGGATTGAGGGGAGGCACAGAGTGCACAGCCTGTGCAGTCATGTCAGGGCCCCTTCGGTTTATTCTGTTCTTATTTTGGGTGTAGCATCTACATGGTACTGGCTCTGCCCTGTCCAGGTGTGGGCTCTGTTCCATTTCACTTAGGGCAAGGGAAACTCCTTGGTGCTTTGTTCTTGCCTGTTTTACTCCAGCTGTCAGTACTGCTCTTGCAGCTTCCTAGAGCTCTGCTATTGTTCTTCCATCCTGGATCAGCATCACAAACAAAGACACCGAGGGCAGCTCTGGCAACCTGGATGACTGATGTTTGTTTTTTAGTGACTGTTACACTGGAGGAAAGTGTTCCCTGGACACTCCCAGAGACAACTGTATCACCAGAGCAGGTACAGTACAACAGCCAAACAAACCTCTTATTCCATGTCAGGCCTGTAGAGCATCCCTGGGAGGGGGAGGATGCGTTGGCACTTGGCCTAGAGGCTGCTGACTAAGGAGCCCGTGGTGTCGGGGTTGTTGCAGTGTAAACTTGCACCTGAGCCCGAGCAAACTGGGCTGTGACAAGCATTGCCAGCCAGGAGCAGCAGAGCAGCTGGTCCCTGTGCCTGGGAAACCCCTTCTGAGCCGCGGGATCACGCGCAGCTCCGCTGGTGAGTCAGCATCCTCAGGGTGATCCAGAGCTGGCCTGACGAATCACTTGCATTGATACAGACCTGCACATTTGTTACATCCCTCCAGTGGAGCAAGTCAGATAGGAGAAATTATTTAGCTGGTGATGGTACAGGGGGAAGGAAGGCCTGGTGATAGGCACCCCTGGTGATTTTGCTGTTCCTGTGATAGCCTGAGGATGCAGACCAGGAGAGATGTTTAACTAGTGATGGTCTGTTTAGAAAAACTGGACAAGCTTATAGATGCAGAGTTTTCACTAAAAGTAGTATAATTGATACTAAATTGTCAACATTGTTCTCATCTTGCACTTGCAATGGTGACCCACTGAATCCATTTTGGACCTGATGGAGGACTCATGTGCCTGAAAGCTCGTCCAGTCCCCAGCTGTAATCTCTCTAGTAAGAGAGATTAGAATAATAAGATCTCTCTCTAAAAAGAGAGATCACCTCCTATATAGGAGATTACCTCCTATATACAAAACTTGTTCAGAGATGGGGATTAAAATGCCATATTCTGTTCTTCTGTATGTGTCTTTCTGCAGAATCCACAAGTCAAATGGGTGTTTTGTACTATTTCTGAACCCTGCAGATTGCCTTGGGACCCCCCCCCCGTCCTGCTGCAATGAGTGGGAAGTCCTTGCTCCTGAAGGTCATTCTCCTCGGGGATGGTGGAGTTGGGAAGAGCTCCCTCATGAACCGCTACGTCACCAACAAGTTTGACTCGCAGGCGTTCCACACGATCGGGGTGGAGTTCCTGAACCGGGACCTGGAGGTGGACGGGCGTTTTGTGACCCTCCAGATCTGGGACACGGCGGGACAGGAGCGGTTCAAGAGCCTGCGGACGCCCTTTTACCGGGGGGCAGATTGCTGCCTGCTGACCTTCAGCGTGGACGACCGGCAGAGCTTCGAGAACCTCAGTAACTGGCAGAAGGAGTTTGTCTATTACGCTGACGTGAAGGACCCCGAACACTTCCCATTTGTAGTCCTGGGCAACAAAATAGACAAACTGGAGAGACAGGTGAGCACGGAGGAGGCCCGGGCCTGGTGCATGGAGAACGGTAACTATCCGTACCTGGAGACTAGTGCCAAGGACGACACCAATGTGACAGTGGCCTTTGAGGAAGCTGTGCGACAGGTGCTGGCGGTGGAGGAGCAGCTGGAGCACTGCATGCTGGGCCACACCATTGACCTGCACTCCAGCTCCAAATCGGGGTCTTCCTGTTGTTAAGAGTGGCTGCTGCTTCGGGAACACTGCCGGAGCCAGCGGCTGGATGGGAACACGCGTGGGCAGCCCTGGGGCACTCTGAGGAGAGTGGCCACGAGGACAATAAGTGGTTTGTGCTCCCTGGGGAGTTGCAGCCTCACCGTCTGAATCCTGCCTGGAGTTCTCAGGCACAGAGCATGTATCCGCAGGAGGGAGCTGTTTAACAGAGCATGTGAGCGTAGTCTTGCTTCCATCTCTGCCTGTTTTAGCAGGTTTAAAGGACTGGGTTAAAGTCCTTTAAATTCACTAAAGACAGTAGTGATCTGTTCTGTACCAAGAACTGCCTGCAAAGAGCAAAGCTGAGAGCACTCTGAAGTATTTTATTCCTGAACTCAAAAAAAATACTAGACCCACTCATGACCATACTGCCAAAGGAAAGCCTGCTCAGCATCCTGAAAAAACTTGTTGTAAAGACTCTGGCCCATGTGACTGTGAAAAAGCCAAATACTGGAGAGGCTGGGGTGTGTGTATCTGTTGTTTGGGATAAGTGCATTGTGTCCTGAGACTGACTTGTGATGAGAATTGTTAGAGCTCTGATCTGGGGCAATATATGAAGGAGAGGTGGGCCTGTGTTTGAATGTGACAGCATTGTTTCTTTGTAGCTGCCTATTTCTGGTCTGTTTTTCCTCACCTTTTTTTGTCTTGTGTGAGTGTTATTTTTTGTTATTTATGTCTGTTGTTGTTTAATATATGTTTCCTTGTCTCTTGTGGAGGCTCAACACCAGATCTCACTTCTCATACCTTGAAGCCCTGGGTGAAAAATACTGATGTGGACACTCGCCAGGTCATGTCGAAGTGTGTGGAGCTACTCAGGAGATCTGCAGTGTGAAACTTCAGCTGGTTTCTGTCACAAGTAATCGCTGTGCTCAGATGATGTGCTCTGGCAGACCAGATGGTAGGTGGGTGGGCTGTCTCTTAGGTGTGCAGGTGGTTGGGGGACTCAGGCATGGTCAGCTGTTAAATCCCCTCTCTGTCTGGTGCCAGTGACCACTGTGCTTCATTAGCTGATGGATCCACGTCTTCAGTTGCTCCAGCACGGATGTTCCCATCTGAATGCTGCAACATGGAACCATTCAGTGTATCCTCTGTTGTGTCAGGTGCAGTGCTGCTGAGCACAGTTAACCCATGCCATTCCCTCATGGGAAATCCAGTGTGTGTTGTCTGTAATTCCTATGACAGACTTCACTGAGAGAAGACACTGAGAGTGTCTGGTCAGTTAACTGGCTGCTGTGTTCAGTCCAAAGGGGAGAGAGCTGCACCAGTTCCCACCTCTGTTCAAGGTGGCTGAAAAATGGGGATGGGGGCCCAAAGTACCTTCTAGAAAGGATGCCAGGCTCCTGCCCCCTGATAGGTGTTAGTTCCAGGCTATCTGTATAGCAAAGAGATGAGTGCTTGCTGACTGCAGCCTTTGCCACTCAAACCTCATGTCCTGCAACTTCCCCTGCAAACGTTTGGCCAAAGCTGTGACTGCCCATGGGCACGTAGGAGCCCACTCTGGGCACGTAAACACCAGCTGCTGAGTATGATTCCCAGTCTGATGAGCTGCTGAATGGTAAGTTTTGCAGCTCAGATCAAGCAGTGATGCTGTGCTTTGGAGCAGGGCAATCTCTGCCCTGTGCCAGCAGCTTGCTGCCATCACGGTGCAGTCTCTGAGCATGCAGAGCATGAGCATTCCCCCATTTCCTCTGGGGGAGCCCAGGGTGATCCTGCCTTTCTCTGCAGGCCAACTGTGCATGGAAGGGGCTGGAGAATTAATGCAAAGTTCTTTAGAGGGATCTGATTTCTGAACGGGGCTGAACACTCATATTCATGGGGAGTGAATGCTATCTGAGCAGCCCTTGCAATCTCTGGAAAAATAGGTTCTTTAAGGAGAAGGTTCTGTAGGTGCAAGAGATTTTTATAGGATGTTATTGTTTATTTACCTGTGTCTGACTTCCCCAGACCTCTAGATTTTTCTTCAGTTAACATTGCTTGATATTTCCTTCAAGATCCCAGCCTCTGACCTGCAGTTCCAGTTTCCACCTCTGAACAGCCCCGTTCCCCTGGAGCTGGTTTCTGCAGGGGCCCAGGGTTGGAACAGGCTCCAGTCCTTTTGTGCTGGCTGGCCCTGCCAGGGGGGCTGATGAGGAGCCAGGAGATGTTTTCTTTTCATAAGTTTCCTAAAGAGCAGAGGTGTTCAAAAGGGGGGGATATCACAGCTCTGCCAGGCTGGGACCACTCAGAGGCGGCAGCATCGGCTCCCACTGCTGTGCCAGGGACATGCACATCTCCTGGATGGCTTGGACACCTTTCCCTGCTCATCCCTTTGCTTTCTAGCCTGGGACTCCCTCTGCCTGTCACTGCACTGTGCTTGCTGTCCACTGTCCCCAGGGCTGGGCCTCTGCAAACAGCATTGGGCTCCATTTGCTGTTGGCAAGAGCCATTTTTTACCATGCACCGTTTGTGCCAGGGCTGAAGGATGGACCTTCTGTAAAGCTGAGGTCTCTCCCTGCCTGTACATCAGCAGGGCAGGGCAGCAGGACAAGGTGAGCTCTTGTGCATGAATGGGGAAAAATTTGGGGCTCCTGATGAGGGTTTGTAGCCAGACCATACCTCCAGGCATCTCTGGTACCTCCCCCTGGAGGTCCCAAACCCACCTCCCAAGCCCAGAGCACAGTGCCACATTATAAGGGAAGCAGTGTAAGGTTTTCCCTCAACTCCTATCCAGCAGACCTCGGGTCTCACCTCCTCCTGCCTTAACAGCAGCTGCTGAGAGCATCTCCAAGGTACCCAGCACAGATCTCCTGCTCCAGGAGTTCCTACAACTGTGGGAACCTGTTGCCAGCTCAAGTTTTAAAAATCCTGATGGCTGTTAGACACACTGTAGAAAAAGAAACCAAAAAAAACCTCCCTGCTAATGCCAAGCTGGGATATGCTCTTTTCTAGCATCTCTTCCCAGGGAGGACATGCACATCCCAGCAGAGACCTGCCTTTGGGTTTTATCAGGAAGAGGCTGCCTGCTTGGTTTATTCTGTTCTCCTGAGGGATGTGGTTGGTTACAGCACTTGGCAGAGAGAAGTCACTAAGGGATCAGGGATCAGAGGGGTTGGTTATTCCTTAGTGTGCCTAGCTAGACCAGGAGCTGAAGGAATAGAACTCACGAGCTGAATCCAATGAGCAGTTTTGCCTTTTCAAGAGTGTATCAGAAAACACTTTCATAACAGAAACCTTCCACATTGCTTCCTTCTGTCACTACATTTTAAATTCTCAGCCTGGGCTCTCAGCAGCAAGCCTGGTTACTTTCCTTTGAGTTCTTCCTGTGATCTTGGAACTGATCCCTCAGGCTCCAGGGGGTTGTAACAAGGCATGATTTCCATAGGATGCCAAGAAGGAAATCAGCATATGGGGACTGTTCTTGTCCGCTGTCCTGCCAGGATGGCTGCTTATTTTGGGAGGCTTTCTCTGTGTTTGCAGAGCCTGTGCCTGCTGTTTCTTTTGGCAGAACCTTTTAGTTTATTTTCCTCATGGGTCTTGCCTATCCACGATTCCAGGATGCAGTGGAGAGTCCAAAGTCCTTGGAAATCATGCTTTTAAAATGTGGGCTGGAGTATCTGAGGGCCTCCAGCCCCTTAATTTGGCCATTTCAAAAGAGAGCTGAAAACAGACAGTGAACAGGATCCGGAGGGAGATGATTCTGGCCTTGGAAGCATCACAGGGTTTGGGTGAGGCTGTTCCACTCCTGGAACAGAGAAGCTGTGGGTGCCTCGTTCCTGGAAGTGCCTGGATGGAGCTCTGAGCAGCCTGGTCTAGTGGAAGCTGTCCCTGCCTGTGGCAGAGGAGTTGGGACCAGGTGATCTTTAAGTTCCCCTCCAACCCAGGCAGTTCTACCATTCTATGATTCTATGACTTCCCACCAGCTATTCCCTCCTGGTATTCAGGCAATTCCCTGGTATAGCCGGACTGTGCCCAGAGATGGAGAGAAAGCAGCTGGGTGCCTGAGAAGTGGCAGGTGAGGACTTCCTCCAGGGCAGGGAGGTGACAGTACCACACCATGGTTCTGGCAGGCAGGACTGCTTGCCTGGCACAGCTCACCCCTCAGCCCTTTCCCTGCCTGAACTGAAGTCAGGACCAGGCTGGGGGAGCTGCCCTGAGGAGCAGCCTGAGTGTGCCCTGCCCTGGCTACTGTGCCCTCTGTCCCCTCTACCAAGTGTCAGTGCAGGTGGAAGGATGCAGGGCTGAGCCCTGGGTTTGCCTCCAGCACTGCCCCCTTTCCCTGAGCCTTCCTGCTCATCCCACACCACCTTTCCAGGGCTGAGCCCAAGCCCTTGCTAAGAGGGCAAGACAGGAGACAGTACCTGCCTGTGTGGCCTCAGAGGAATGTGCTCTGTGGTCAGGGCTAGGAATGGCTGTGGCTGGATGTCCAGAGTAGCTTTTATGTACTGTTCCCATGCTGAGAGCTGTGCAGGACCGAGCCCATTGTAGAGAAAGGCTCTGGAGGGAGCCGCCGGTGGTGTTTCTGGTGTGTCCCCGTGGGCTCCCGAGGCTCAAGGGAGGGGTCCCCGGGGAGCACTGTCAGCCGGCGCGGGGGCCGAGCAGGGCAGGGAGGGGGATCGTGGCCGCGGGGGGAAC